AATTCTATTCTATTCTATTCTATTCTATTCTATTCTATTCTATTCTACTCTACTCTACTCTACTCTATTCTTATTATATCCTATGACTATCATTAAGTGTTGTACTTGATGACTCTTGACTCAGTTTTGACCGTTTTTCGTACTTACGGCCACTGCAACATCCCCAGGGACACAAAATCAAAATTCAGATGTTGGGTAACTGATTCGCATTTATGACGGTTGCACTGTCCCGTGTGTGTGTGTGTGTGTGTGTGTGTGTGTGTGTATGAGACGTGATTCCCCTTTTGGGGAGCTTCTGACCAGCGAAGCCAACAGGGAAGCTGGATGATTTGCTTAACAACTGGGTGGCTAGCTTAACACCAGCCGTGTGTCAGGACTCCAACAAATTCACCCTCATTCCAATCAAAAGCCTCTAGCCGCATCTCAGAGAAAAGAAAATTTATTAGAAGTGGCCATGTTGGCGTTGGCTGGATGCAGCTGATACTAAAATACATCATTCATTTCCCCCTTGACCCTGGTCTTCCCCCCACCCCTTGGATGTATATTCTCCAATGGGACACATCCATAGCCAAGAGTCATCAATCAGGCTCTCCAGTAATATTCTTGCCAACTTTGGGCTGCCAGGGCAATTATCTAGGCACCTGAGGAATGCACTGTTTCCCCCACTCCCTTTCTGCTGGCAGCTAAAATGACCAAAGAAGTACCTTCTTAGTTGACACTGTGATTTACAACTGTGGCAAGAAAGGTCATAAAACAGGGCAAAACTGACTTCACAAATGTCTCACTTAGCAACAGAAATGTTGGGCTCAATTGGGGGTTGTAAGACGAGGACTACCTGTCTATAGGATCCTACAACAATAAAGTAGCATTCCTGGCATCATCGTCGTGTCCATTTCTTGAGCTGGCCTACCTCAAACAGCTGCCCAGATGCACAGAGACAATCACACTATCGCACAAAGATCCTGATAAATCTTGCGTTCGCGGCCCACTTTCTTCATGTTCCAAAATGGGAGTAATTTTATTTAATCCTCATCCCAAATCCATAAATTAAGCTAACTTAGGGGGGAAAAGGCAAGAGAAACTGAACAGGAAATTCCTACTCCTCTTAGGTCTAAATAAATTTGCAATGAAGGATTAAAAACTTTAAATAATAGTTTCTGGCGTAGGTTCTGTTCCATTGTTAGGGACTTGGAATGACAAACTTCAAAGCCCTTGCAGCAAAATCCAGGCTTTTCAGCAGAATTATGAGGAAAGCGACAGGAAATGTGTCTTAAAAGCTGCAAAATCAAATAAAAGAGCAGATGAAATCTCTGCCAGATTATGAACAATAACACTCCTTACAGCAGAGATTCAGCGAGTAGTCATATTTAGCAAACATATATATGCCTTGCATTTGAAAGGTCACAAGCAGGGCATTAAAAAAAGATGAAAAAAACACTTTGAAAAATAGGGCAGGAAATATCTTAGCAAAGGGGAGCAAACAGCAGCAAAATCTTGCTGAGGTACAGCAGCACAACCCCAAAACCTAGCTGATATTTCAAGAAAATCATTGCCGACGTGGCTCTGCTCATACATAGCTTGCTGAATAGTTATTTACTCCGATCAGGGAACCTCAAACAGCAGATCAGAAGCGTTCTCTACAATCCTTGTTTAGTATTCACTTCCAAGAACAACTATCATTTTTATGTTGTTATATTATCTATATACGAGGAAACAACATTTCCCTACTGGAGAAATGAACGTCTTGAAACAAATCTGACTAATCTATTTAGCACAATCATGTTTACATTTTGATCTCTTTTTTTTCCTCCTCTCCATCTTTCATCAAGAAGTTGGCAGTACAATTAAACCCCCTTCCTTTTAAGGCTTCAACTTCAACACACACACACACCCTTGGTTTAACGCAACGCACTACACTACCATAAGCTAAAGCAGATATGGGTAGTTTGTGGCTTACAGTAATACAGGAACCAAGCGATCGTGTTAAAGCACAAAATGGCTTATTTGTTCCAGTGTATTATGTGAAGAGAAGCAACTATGTTTTATTCCTTTTTTGTAGTGGACAAAAAAGCTCTACAGAGAATCATTAAAACTGCCCAGAATATCATTGGGCTCCAGATACCAGCCCTGGACGGCATCTTTGCATCTTGCTGTCACACAACATTCTCAGAGACTCTTCCCATCCTGCTCACAATCTTTGTGAACCTTCTGGCAGAAGATACAGAATAATTAAAACTCGGACCATGCGTTTTCTGAATAGTTTTTATTCCAGAACTAAATTGCACTTGACAGTGAACTTAAGGACCACCATCAGTGAGCTGTTGGACAGTATTACTTGGTCTGTTGTGTGGATGCTTGTGTGTTTTTAGGTGGGTGGGGAGGTGTTTGGGGATTGTCATGTGTGTGTGCATGTTGAGTCTGGTCTCTGGGTGTTATGTGAATTTTATTGTATGTATGCTGTGTATATGCTACGTACAATGACAATAAACAATTCAATTCAGGGTTAAGCATGTTGCATGGATCAGAGCTAGAGAGCAGGAAACTGTCTAAATTAGCTGAAGCCACAATGAATGTTGGGGACAAACACATTTCTTGCTTAAATTGAGCTGATTGCAATTTATTTATATGTTGTATTTCTATCGTGATGGGTTGAACACGACTTCACAACTAACAACAAGAAGATTTCTATCTCACAGAGAGAGTCTGGGCAGCATACATAATAAAACAAAATACACAAAAACACGTATGTAGAAAAACATTTAAACCACACTTTAAAGAAAAAAAAATGATGGCAAATGTAGCGTGCAAAAGAGAACCATCATACAACTGTCTAACCGGCTCCTCACGATCACGGGTTTCCCCAAATTTGTTGACAAATATTTTCAGGACATTCTGGAAAGTTAACGGGGTTGGAACCAGCCTCACCTTGGGGGGAAATGAAGTTTTTCACACGGTGGGGACTAGGGAAGAAAAAGCTTTCCTCCTGGCTCTTAAATTTTACCACAATACCCATAAATGCTGTTTTGGCTGTAAGAGACTGACATGGCTACTTCTTTGGAGAAATCAGTTCAGGAGAGGGGTCTTCCCAACTTGGCAACCTGGACATCAATAATTTCCAGAATTCTTCAACCAGTTATGTTGGCTGAGGAATTCTGGGAATTGAAGTTCCACAAAAGTGGCCAAGGCTGGAGTCCCTGCCCTGGGTTAAGGAAATAGTCACATTTTATTCAGTAAAAACCAGCATATTTTACCTTTTCTTGGGGGAGGGAGGAGAAAACGTTACTTATTTCCTTGTATTTATCTATGAAATGCATAAGCCGCCCATCTCAATGTTGAGCAACCCTGAATGGCTCACAACACTGTAAATCATGTTTCGCCTCTAGTTTTTGGGCCCTGTGGAGGGAAGGGCAGCTTGGGTAGGAGGAGGGAAACCAAAGCTCAGATCCAGACTTAACCCAGCTGATCTTTGCTCATTATTGGCCACTATTCCTACCATTACTTTCCCCACCTTTTAAGGAAGTGAAATCTAAAGGTGAAGTACAAAAAAAAAAAAAAAAACAATAAAGGGAAAAAAAAGTAAAATGACATTAGATGACGTAAGTCTGATTAATGTGGTAATTTTTATTTGTATCGGTATTGTTTTTGTATCAAAATGAATGACACTCAGACTCCCACACATTGTCCATGAAATGATATGGATGGATGTTTAAAAATGAAAAAAAAAACTTTACGAAAAGAAAAAAGCAAAAAAGCTCAGAAGCTGAAAAAGGGCCACAAAATTGGGGTGCCAGCTGACAAAAACAGACCACCCCCTCCAACCCAGACCCACAAATCCCTGTGGAACCCCTTCTCCCCCCCACCCAGAATTCCCAGCCCAGGGGCGATTGGGAACGATGGGGGTTGTAGTCTTAAACCTACTCATGGGGCGGGGAGTACCAGGTGGGGCATGGGAGGGTGCCTTCCAGGTCCCATGGGAGGGGGGGGGGTCAGGTTACTTCATCGCCCCTCCCCGGCTCAGAATTCCCAGCCCAGGGGTGGTTGGGGACGATGAGGGTTGTAGTTCTAGCCTACTCATGGGGCAGGGAGTACCAGGTGGGGCATGGGGGGTGTGCCTTGCTAGGTCGGATTGTGGGGGGGTCAGGTTACTTCATTGCCCCCTCCCCAGGGGCAGTTGGGGACGATGGGGGTTGTAGTCCTAAACTTACTTATGGGGCGGGGAGCACCAGGTGAGGTATGGGTGTGTGTGCCTTGCCAAGGCCCCATGGGGGGGAGAGGGGTCAGGTTACTTCACTGCCCCCTCCCCGACCCAGAATTCCCGGCCCAGAGGCGGTTGGGGACGATGGGGGTTGTAGTCCTAAACCTACTTATGGGGGGAAATGACTTGCCAGACCCCACGAAGGGGGTCAGGTTACTTCATTGCCTCTTCCCCCATGAAGTATAGTTGCCTACCCCCCCCCAATTAAAGTGAGGCCTACCCTCTCCCTACTCGCCCCTAAAGTGGAGGGAGGGGTTGGGGGGGGGGAGACCCGAAGCTCGGACTGGCTTACCTGGAAGGGATTGACGTCCACGGGATCCGCGAAGGGGTTCGCGTCGAAGGCCGACATGGCCGCTTTTTTAAATTCTTTTTTCTTCCTCGCCCGCCACCCGGGACGAAGACCCCGCCGCACCTGTTCTCACCCCGGTCCGCTTCCTGCCCCCCTAGAAACCACACACACTTCCGGGAGAAGGCTGGTTTCCGCCCCCACCTTCGGACTCCCGGCCGCGCCTGCGCAGTGCCGCCCGGAGGGCGAGGCGCCCGTTCTTTTTTTTTTTTTTTTGCGCACGTGACAAGGTTAAGCCCCGCCCCGTTCACCCCCCTCACCTTGTGATCTCATCGGCTGGGCGGAGGAGGAGGAGGAGGAGCGAGGCAAGAAGGACGCGCATGCGTAAAATTGACTTAAAAAAAAAAAAAGATGTGTGTTTTGGTCTCCCTTTGCCTTCCGGGAGGAAGATGCTGAGGAGGGGAATACATTGTGAGCATGCGCACGCTTTGTGAGCATGCGCACGGCAGAAAGGTCTAGTTCGTTACCGTATTCTATGGTGTAATAGCGCTGGTGTTTATTTTTTTTAAAATGTGGCGCTCTGATTGAATTATAGTCCCTTAATCGTATTGTTCAAATTACTTGAAGAACAGTTCGGTGTTATAAGAAAAATAAATTAGTAAAACAGAAATAAAATAAATTAGGCTTGTTCCGCAAGAGATTTCAAATTTCAAATAGTTTCTATAACAGCCATATGGTCATTATTATTTTCAATAATAATAATAATATTTCAATAATAATGCGCTTTAATCTCAACCTCCTTTCTGTCATTGTTTTATTTATTTAAAGCATTTATGCTTCCACCTCACAGGTTTTGGAGGACAGGAAAGAATCATCTTCCTTTTTTTTCTTAATAAAATGGTGAATAAACTTACAATACGTAACTAATAAAATAGCCAGATTTAATTGACTAACCCTGATTTCATTTCCATGCCAAATGAGAAACTAACCACGGGGACACAGCCATATAACAGAGCTGAATTATCACAGTGGCTGTTGCTTTGGTTACGGGCATAAGAAATTTTGAACTTTTGGAGATGAGAATTACCAATAATCAATATATACCCAGCTTGAAATGGGATAAAATTCTAGTTCCAGATGTCTTAAAACTCTCATCAAATGATTGTTATTCCAGAATTACAAATTCCAAGACAAATTCCTTGTGTGTCCAATCACACTTGGCCAATTAAAAATTCTTATTCTATTATGGAGTTTCTGCATCACAATAAAGGCATGAAATAGAACAAAAAAGACAACAGCTAATATTTTATCACAATCCTTTATTTTCCTTTGATCAAGAAACATTCCTACATGTCCTTCCTTATTAAAAAAGCAAAACCCAGCCAGCTCTTAACTGGGAATCTTCAGACAACATTTCTAAGAAAATGTTTTCATATTTTTAAAAAATTGTATTCAGAGCTTTATTAATCAGAGATATTACAAAATATGTATTTGTCAAGCTTGGCCACTTCAAGGTGGGTGGATTTCAACTCCCAGAATTCCCCAGCCAGCCAGTCAGCCAGCGGGAATTGTGGGAATTGAAGTCCAACTCATCTTAAAAGTAGCTCAGGTTGACCAACATTGGGGTAGATAGATAATGTCTATATTTCTATATATGTTGTCTATATTTCTACTATTTTTTTAATGTATAAAATTATGTGAATAGATAAATATATGTATTTATGAATTGAAAAAAAATCTATATTATGTATATATTTCTGCTAGGCAGCAGGAAAACGTAACAATCTTGGCTTGGGAGGGAAAGCGGTGGATGGGAATTGTAGTCCAGATCAGCAGTGTATGGGTACTGTAGTCTCAAATCAACGAAAGGGCAGCTGCACCGGTGGAACCCCTGCCTGTCGTCTCTTGTTTTGTGTTTCAAAGGATTTGAAAGACTTATTGGGGAATAAGGAACCCGGCTCCGAAGTCACTCCGATTCCGCTTTCCTTCCTCCAGATTTGCAAAAAGAAGCCACTTGCTCTGGATTGAAGAACTACATTACCCAGCTTGCCCAGCCGGTTGCCGGGAAGAGGCGTGGCGGCGTCTCTTTCACTCTTTTTTTTCTTTTTTCTTTTTCTTTTTTCGCTTCGGCTTGGCAAAATAGAAAAAGAGAGGAAAAGAGGAAAAGATCGGGCCTCAGTCGGAAATCCCAGAATGGCCAACGAGTTAAGAGGTGAGTTTGAGCGAAATGAAGCAGGTTGCAAAATGCGAAACAAGGAAAAAAAAAAAAAAAAAAGAGGCGAGTTTGCAAAAATGAATGAATCTCGGCTGGGAAAAGAGCTGCCAGAGGCTGCCCGGCTGGTCTGGCGGGGTCTTGGGGGGAGGGGCTTCCGGGGGGGGGGGGGGAGAGAGAAGAAGCCCCCCTTGCACCGGGCGGAAAGGTGCGGATGCCCGAGCAAAGCTGCCTTCGTGGACGTTCGCCCGCTTAAGCGCTGTATATGCTCTGGTGGGGCGGTGGATGATGGGCTGGGGGGAGGTGGGTGGATTTGGGGGCGGTGGGCACGCTCCTGTATTGCAAACTGTGCGGGTGGGGGGGAGCGCTGATGCCCAGCAGACGCTGCATTCCTGCATTCAACGCTCCTTTGATCGCCTAAGCGCTGTATATGCTCTGGTGGGGGCGGGGGATGATGGTTGGATTTGGGGCGGTGGGCACACCCCTGCACTGCAAACCGGGCTGGAAAAAGCACTGATGCCCCAGCAGACGCTGCATTCAGGGTCCCTTGGCGGCCTCAGCGCTGTATACTCCAGGGAGAAGGGAGAGGGAGGTGTGTGTGTGTGGGGGGATTTATTTTATTTTATTTTATTATTTTATTATTATTTTATTTTATTTTATTATTTTATTTTATTATTTTAATTTATTTTAATTTTATTTATTTATTTTATTATTTTATTTATTATTTATTTTGTCAAGCAAGTATTAGATAACAGGTATAAGTATAAACATGGTTATGAATACATGAAGTGGATACGAATAAAAGGGAACCATAGGACAGGGACGGTAGTCACGCTGGTGCACTTATGTCACGCTGGTGCACTTAAAGTCCTCTTAGGCGTGGGGTGAGGTCCACAGTAGACAGTCTAAGGTTAAAGTTTTGGGGGTTTGAGGCTGTAACCACAGAGTCAGGGAGTGTGAGTTCCAGGTGTTGACCGCTCTGTGGCTGAAGTCGTATTTTCTGCAATCGAGTTTGGTGCGAGTTTACCTTGAGTTTGTATCAGATAACAGATAATCAGAGTTGGAAGGAACCTTGTAGGTCATCTAGTCCAAACCCCCCACCCCACGCCCAAGCGGGAGACACTGCACCATTTCTGACAGATGGCAGGCAGTCCAGTCTCTTCTTGAAGGTTCTCAAGTGATGATGAACCCGCAACTTCCGAAGGCAACTTCTGTTCCATGGCTTGATTGTTCTCCCTGTCAGAACGTTTCTCCTTATTTCCAGGTTGAATCTCTCTCCTTGTTCAGTTTCCATCCATTGTTCCTTGTCTGGCCTACAGGCGCTTTAGAAAACAGCTTGACCCCTTCCTCCTCCTCTCTGTGGCAGCCCCTCAAATATTGGAAGGCTGCTATCCTGTCTCTCCTGGTCCTTCTCTTCCCTAGACTAGCCAGGCCCAGTTCCTGTATCAGTTGTTTGCCTGTGTATTGTTGTGGTTGAAGCTGAAGTTACAGTACCTGAGAGGATGCCCAGGTGTGGGAGAATGTGCTTTTCAAACCCTACCCACCTTCTGGTGTCTGCTCAGAGGGAATCTCTAACCTGCCTACCTGGCTGCTGATTTAGAGAAGCCGCTTGGGGTCACATAGCTTCCTTCCCCCTTTCAGCAGGGTCTGAAATTGAAACAGGGAGGGAGGTCCGACCAGGATGTAGGGTAGAAAGTGCCTGGAAAGTGCCCCCTCCCCTCCCTGCAGTAATCCACAATTTCTCCCAAGCTCACCTGGGCTTGGAAACTAAGCTGAGTTAACCCTGTGGGGGGATTGTATTCCAAATTATCCCGGGAAGTAAGTTTTATTTATTTTTTAAATAAAAATCCAGGGAAAACCTTCATGGTTCTCCTTGCAAAGATGCGTCAACCAGAGGTGGTATATTCAGCCAGTTCTGGAGAACCGGTCGCAGAAATTTTGAGTACTTTGGAGAACCGGCAAATGCCGCCTCTAACTGGCTCCGCCCCCATCTATTCTCCGCCTCCCGAGTCCCAGCTGATTGGCTGGGTCTTCTTTGGTTGCCCCGCACGGGAGAACGGAGCTGGAAAGCAGGTCAGTGGGTTGGGGAGGGAATAGGGGTTTTGCAGTATCCTTCCCCTGCCATGCCAAGCCACACCACACCCACCAAGCCATGCCCACAGAGCCGGTAGTAAAAAAAAAAAAAAAATTGAATCCCACCACTGGCGTAAACAATCCAGCTTAACAATTAACTAAGATGTGTGAATCTGTCTTTGGGGGCTTCGGTGGGGAGGTTTTTTCCCCCAGCTTTTCTTGCAGATGCTGGATCTGAAATGGAGACTGGCAAGGAAAGGGATGTGCTGGAAATGCGAGCCACTGTGGTCGCTTCTGAGCCAAAAGGAGATCAATTTGATCCAAGATTGCCCGACGCATAATATTTCTCTCTGGGGAGGAAGGTTCCACTCAACCTCTCTGGATTTCGCATGGAGGAATGGATGCAGAAAAATGTGCAGAAATCCGTCGTTGTTTCTCACTCATCTCAGTCTGGCCTGAGATGTTCCCAAAATAGCCATTTATCTCAGGGCAGGGCAGGCACGCAGCGTGACCCTTTGGAACTGCTGCAGCTGTTTGTAGCAAATCAAGTGTCCCTGTAATCTTAATCTTAATCCCTTGTCATCCTTTATCCCTTCGCTTTTCTCTCGGCGGGAACAAACAGATAGAAACGGCCCAATTTATTATTATTTTTTTAAAAAAAAGGAGAGGGGAGATTATGCTTTGTACCTTGTTGGCACTGCTTGTTGTCTTGCAGCGAAATCTACTCTTGATATATTAACTGGCTGATTGGAACCCAGCAAAAGATTTAATCTTTAATCCTAGTTTTTTTTTTTTTTTTTTTTTTGAGATAAACCCAAAATCGGCTGGGTTCCTAAGCAGAGACATACAGGAAGTCTGGTCTTGCAAAATTGTAATGGTGAGGTTTGCACGGCACGCTTTGTAATTTAATTTGGAGGTTGAAGCGAGCAGAAAAGAGCGT